GTCTGAGGCCTAGCCATCTGGTATTACCCAGAAGCCACCCTGGGTGGCTTCTGGGTAATACCAGATGGCTAGGCCTCAGACCGACAAAGCCTCTTGGATGAGGGGCGAAACGTTTCTTTTTAACAAAAAAACGAAGTCCAGATGACATGATTCAACCTTTTTTGTCATGGAAACAGTGGTGCCAGCTCTCTTCTGGTCATGGACCAGCTCCTCCCGTGTAGTTCTGGGCTGATTCCTCACCTTTCTTAGGATCATCGATGCGCCACGAGGTGAGATCTTGCATGGAGCCCCAGTCCGAGGGAGATTGACAGTCATGTTTAGCTTCTTCCATTTTCTAATAGTTGCTCCAACAGTTGATCTTTTTTCACCAAGCTGCTTGGCAGTTGGCTCGTAGATCTTTCCAGCCTTGTGGAGGTCTACAATTTAGTCTCTGGTGTCTTTGGACAGCTCTTTGGTCTTAGCCATGTTAGTAGTTGGAGTCTTACTGATTGTGGATGGACAGGTGTCTTTATGCAGCTACCGACCTCAAACAGGTGCTTCTAATTTAGAATAATAAGTGGAGTGGAGGTGGACGTTATAGAGGAGGACTATCAGGTCTTTGAGGACCAGAACTGTTGCTGATTGGCAGGTGTTCAAATACTTATTTTCAGCAGTAACACACAAATAAATTATAAAAAAATCATACATTGTGATTTACGGATTTTTTTTTTATAGATTATGTCTCTCACAGTGGACATGCACCTAAGATAAAAAATTCAGACCCCTCCATGATTTAAGTGGGAGAACTTGCAAAGTCGCAGGGTGTTCAAATACTTATTTTTCTCATATATATATATATATATATATATATATATATATATATATATATATATATATGAGAGTGACAGAGACACATCTCAGCCACGTGCTGTCTGAACAGTTTTTTTTTTTGGACGGGGGGGTGTGTCGGCGGTGAGAGAGACAGATGCACATCTGAGCCGTGCGCTGTTTGTACCAACAGTTTTTGAGTGGTGGGGGTGCGTTCAGCGTGAGGGTTGAACATGAAGGAAGAGGCTGCCTTTAGCTTTTTAGCTAGTGCACCTGCATTGCGAGCCGCTAGTTTAGCGTTACGTCAGTGCCGACAGGTGGGTGGGGGTGGGGTTCGGTTATGGCTGAGAATGCACTTACACAAATATGTGATAAGGACAAAATAAACATATTTATCTGTATGCTTATGTTTGAAAACTCATTTAACTTCTACCTTTCTTTCATTTGTTCATTTGCTTAACTTTACTTTCAGCAAACATCATCCAGACTAGCTCCAAACCCTGCATAACTCACAGGTGGGCTTCAAGTCCAGGTCAGGATTGCAGTCCTATGTGGGGTGGGGGGACAGGATCCTCAGAGAATAGGGATGTTGGACACAAACTGGGTCCATGAAGTCCAGAGGACATCACTGGTAGCAGTCTCTACATCATCCAGGACATTTACCACAGCCGTGTCTGCGTACAGCACGCATCATGAAGGACCACGCCCACCCAGCACATGGACTCTTCCATCTACTACCCTCAGGCAGACGATACAGGAGTCTGCCATCATGCACAAAAAGAGTCAAAGACAGTTATTACCCACAAGCTGTCAGATTCCTGAACTCTTGATAATAACATCACCCCAAGTCACATGTGTGGCAGCTGTTTACTGCTGCTGCACTGTGGCTGGATCATGTGTCACCACCTTGCCATCATAACTCAGTTCATCTCAGTGGTGCTGTGCAACAACCGGTCACACAACCTGTGTAGTATGTGCAACATATATCATGCACATTTAAACTCCTCTGACCATCTGTGAAATACTTCTTTATACAAATTCATCCTACTTGCACCGTTATGTTCTACCAGGTTGTTGTTGTTTACCACATTTCTGTTGGAACTTGTAAATATATTTCTTTTTCACTTTTTGGTACTTTATTTTGTAACCTTATCACAAGCTTTAGTGTTTATCCTTTTTGTTTTTAGTGGGCCGAATCGGTTCTTTTCATTCTGAACATTTCATTGCATTGTTGACCTTGTGTTAATGTGCACCTGACAACCAACACAACATCTGGAAAAGATTAAGACGCACTACGAGCCAGTTCTGTCCGTGTGTCAGTGGCTCTGATGCGGTCTGCTGAATCCAGGTCTCTGTTGTAAACGAGGCTCAATGGGACCAACCTGTAGAAAGAAAGCTTGGATGAATTCATGTCTGTGCAGCTGGTCGGGTGTGGGAGGGGATTTTGTTGCATGTTTTTTTGTTGTTGCGTGTGTTCTTAACATAAAAAACAATAAAAAATACTTTGCTAAAAAAATTATTCTATTTCACATTTATACAAACTAGAAACAAACTAAATGTTAAATAGCGTCATGAGTGTAAAGTGCATCAAGGTTGAAATAAATAAATAAGAACGTTCTGCTAAGTTAAAGATTTCTAATTCCAGTTTGACAGATCACAAACAGGAAGTGGATCTCACAGCAATCAAAACAAAGAATGTAAACAAACAAACATTTCTTTCCAGGTCCAGGAACCTCCACAAGAACAGCAGAACCTTTTCTTCCCACAATGCACCTGGTGACGGTCCATCCCAGGTGAGGCCGACTGTCCCCATGATGACCCAGACCAGAACCAGAGGTCCTAGTTCTGACCCAAGAGCACAAGCTTACAGAACTTTTTGCAGTCTAACCATGACTCAGCATCTTCAGGTCTCGCTGGACCTGATCCAAAGTTCTGCTTTCTGGACCTCAACTGGTTTATTTAGTTCTTTTCTGGTTCTGGAAACTTCTCACATCTCAGCTCAGAGTTCTGATAAGAGCCGGATCAGAACATAATGACCCTACAGCAGGTGACCAGGATCCAAGACCTGAGAAATCCATCACCCAACCAAACCCCCAGAACTGAAATCCAGACCGGAGGTCAGGATTTCAGTCCTTCAGCTACAAAAAAACCCTGAAAGACCCCAGAGGATCTGAAGAACCCTGATCCAGACCTCAGGGAACTCTAAACACCCAAAGACCGGATTAGGAGGACCGGATCAGGGGGACTGGATCAGCAGGTCCACACTGATCCACGAGGGGGACTTAAGTTAAAACTGAAGCATAATGTTGGGGGAACAGTTTTTGGTTTACCCAGGACATCCAACCCAAGGACCTGGACCAGTTTCAGGACTTTTATTTTACTGAACTTCCTATCAATTTGGGTTCTGGTTTAAAGTTCGGGACTCAGGTCCAGCCTTCATAAAACCAGGAGACCTGAGTCCAGTCCCTGTGATTCCCTTCAGCCAGGTCCCGCTGGACCCCGCAGTCCGGGTCTGGTTCAGGTTCTGATCCGGACCCGCCCCCCCGCCATGTCTTCAGACTTTGCGCTGTTTAAACAATCTGCGCAGTTTTTCTGCGCACGCCTGGTTCGGTTCGAAACATTCCGAGCTTCTGCCTCCGAACCTCCTGTGGCTCAGACTGGTTCCGACCCACGCTGCTTGTCTCGGTTCTGGTTGAATTAAACTCAAAGTTGTGCGTCAAAAACCCGCAGAACCGACTCGAGATCCAACAGCACCGAACTCACAAACTCGTGCTTTTATTTTGAAACGAGGTTCAAACAAAGTCCGAAGTTCTGAGAGTTCCTGGTTTTACCGTCCGGACCAGAACCTGCGGGTCTATTTTACCTGGAGCAGGTCGTGAGGAGCATCTACCGGTTCTCGTTCTGGTTCCGTCCGGACCTGGTCACCTGCAGCCACCAGCCGCTCGCGCTCCTTCTCCTGTCGAACCAGAACTGAGAGCCGAAGGTTCGGTTCTTCTGTCTGCGCTTCAAAGGCCACGCAGGCCGCGCGTGGACACATCCGCTTAGCCAATCAGAGCGCGCGCAGCCGGAGTGATCGCCAGTCCGAGGGGGCGGAGCCAGGGGGTCGAAACCAAAGTCCGGAACCACACCGCTCCGAGTCCACTGCAGAGTAATCAGAGTACTTTTACTCAAGTATTTTTACCAAGAGATGGGTCTGAGAAGTGGACCGGTTCTGATAGTGGACCGGTCCATGTCTGAAACTGTTCTGATGTTGAGGTCCGGTCCAGTTCTAATGTCGGACTGGTCCAGCATTAGAACTGGACTGGTTTCAGGACCCTCGGAAGAGACCCGGTTCAGACCCAGAACTTTCTGGAGGGATTATAAATCCTCTCTGGTCTGGGAACACCAGGAGGAACTGGTCTCTGGGGAGATGGAGGTCTGGGTTTCTCCAGGAGCTGGTTCCTCCTCAACCACAGGTAGAACATGAGGATCTTCAGGGTTCTGACCCGAATCAAACCATAAATCCTTCAGTTTAAAGTAAGTGCTCCCAGATTGTCTCCGGGACTGTCCCCCTTCTGGTTCTGATGGGTCGACTGTTTGAACTTTATTAGTTTTTGTTTCATTTAGTAATAAAACCTTTAAACAATTTAATCAGCAGTTGTGTGGACGAGCGGGTCAGAACAGCCTGGAGGATTTGTCCCATCTTTAGCTTGTAGAACCAGACGTCTGTCCCAGAAACTGCTGACATGAACTCATCTGTCAGACCTCATGTCCTCTGTCCTCCTGTCCTCTGAGACCAGCTGGAGTACACAGAAGTCATGTCCTCTGTCCTCCTGTCCTCTGAAATCAGGTTCAGTTTATGATTAGGAGGATCTGTGGTGGAAGTGGTCTCCAGCTACAAGTACTTGGGTGTACACATGAACAACAACCTCAGCTGGAGCAACAACACCACCAGCCTGATCAAGAAAGCTCATCAGAGACTCTACTTCCTCAGGCGGCTGAGACGAGCTGGTCTGGAAGCTCAGTCCTCACCTCCTTCTACAGGTGTGCAGTGGAGAGCATCCTGTGCTCCAGCATCAACGTGTGGCATGGAGGCTGCACAGCTGCAGAAAGAAAAGCTTTGCAGAGAGTGGTGAAGGCTGCACAGAAGATGTTGGAATCAGCCTCCCCACCATCACAGACATCTACACCTCCAGATGCAGGAAGAAGGCCACCTGCATCATGAAGGACCACACTCACCCAGCACACACACTTTTTGCCCCACTCCCCTCAGGAAGGAGGTTAAGGAGCATTAAGTGTAGAACCACTAGACTGAGGAACAGCTTCTACCCTGAGGCTGTTAGACTCATGAATCTCTAACTAGAATAATCACTGTGAAAAATCGCATCATGTTGCTGCTGATCTGTTTCAATGTTGCTGCTGATCTGTTTCATGT